GACAGTAGATTTACGTTTACTGTGTCATTGGCTCTACAGCAATCCCTCACATGATGTATGCGTGTAGTGACAGTGCAGAGGAGTAACTCCCTTTTTACATGGAAGAAACTGTTTACCAGTTGAGCTCTGAGCCAGTTTTGATACAAAAGGGTTGAACAAGAGAACATACAATTAGTCACAGTGAAAAAAGTAAAAAAAAAAAAGAAACAGGAGAGAAACAGATCTAGAAACTAAAAAACATGCCTAGCTCAAAGTTGTTGATGGTAGTTTTAGATATGATATGAAGCTATTGAAGACAGTTACTTGGGACATGAATGAACACATCATTCACTAACGTGTATGTCACAGATGTGATAGATAAGCTTTTAGTTAGCTTTTGCGATAAATATATCCTACAAACAATGTGTGTATTTTATGCTCTCACAGTCCCTGCTGATCTGTAAGAAGCTGCTTTTAACGTTATTCAAGTCTCATTCTATATTCCTTATTCTCTATGAAAGTAACAGGAGCCAAGTTCTGTAATCTGAATAATCTTCTCCATCTGGATAAGATACAATTTGTTGTTAAACTTCAAGTTCTGCTTTTTTCCTTTTCTTTTATTTTCTTTGAAAAGTTATTTGAAGTGAGGTAAAAAAAAAAAAAAAAAGTGGTTGCCTCCAGGGAAAGAAAGCTCTCAGGTGCAACCACCTTCAGTGGAAGAGTACATAGAGTTCGAGGGTTAAACTAACAATTACTGCAGAATTGTATAATAGAGATAGAATTAATCAAATGATGGAAAGTGTTTCCTATGTCTTCCAGCAGCCATAGTTTATCACAGCATACCTACAGCGAAAGCTATAGAGAATAATAACATTGCAATATTGGGATATTGTGTGTAGGATTGTGAGGATAGAGAATATTTTAACGGTTCTTTTGATAAAGTAGGAATAATATATCTACATTTTAACAAGTGCATAGCTGTAAATACTTTCTGGGGCAACTGCATTTACCTTCTAGGTGTTTTTTGTTTTATTTGATTTTTTTTTTTTTTTTTG